CATGGCAGAATAAGCCTCTTCTCAGGTTTGCCAGAAGGGCATTGGGTGGATAGGAATCTCGGTGTCTTCCCTGTCTGGAAAGGCTGAATGGAGAAGTGCTGAAACAAGGGCATGCAGAGAATGCTCTTACGCTTCCATAACTGCCAGCCTGTCCTGCATTCCTTTCAAAATAAAACCCTGTCCCAGTGAGACATACTCTCATACCCTTTCACACCCTTTCACTCTGCAGATCCATCTGAAGGCATAAAACCAACTGGAATGATTTGGTAGAAAACTTGAGTAAATGTGCTGTAACTTTTATTCTCAAAGTTGCCTTTCTTCTATTTGTTGGGCATGGTCAGAGGTTTTGGCCAATACATCTGTATTGGACATAATTTATAGTTTCTTCAGATCTTGTCTTTGGCTGTCTTGCCCTCTTTTTTCCATGCTCTTGGAGCTTTGTTTTAAATGTTAAAGAAGCTGAATTTACCGTTTTGTGTATGTGCGTGGGGAGGGGAAGTGAACCAAATGTATGTATTAGCCTGTGCTTGCAGTAAGTGAAAATGGTTTAAATAATAATTGGCTAACTTATCTGTGCTCTTTTTAAAGTTAGAATCTATGCATGAAGGGGGAGAAGTGTCATGCATTTGGACTGTAATATTAGACATAAATAACCGTATCTTTCAAACTTTTCCAAAATAGTAGGTGGACAAATAAGCAGGTTAGGTTACTGCACACTGGAGGCCATCAAAATGGCAAAAGGTCCTTGTCCATTGACAATCACTGCTTGGTCTGTTAAGATCCAGGCAAGAGCTTTGTGGGTTTTATCAAATAGTGCTATTCTGTCTCTGTGGTGTTAAGTAGAAGAGTCTGGTCACTCTTTTAAGCATTGTGAGACCTGCTGCTAGATCTGAGCATAGTAATGAGCCCATTGGCAATGCAGCTGGTGGTATTCCATTTCCATTATCCTGAAGAGAATACTGCTTGTCAGATACCTATCAGCATCCACCCTTCACATGCTAAGAGGACAGAGAAGAGTTATTTCTGGCTGTAGCACTATGGCTTTTTAAGTGTAGTTCCCATTACTGACCATCTATCTAAATTGTCTTGTGATGTGAGCTGTGCATTAGCACATTCAGACTTGGGAAATGGTGGAGCTGCATTCATTTTACGCTCTTATAGGAGTATAAGAAAGCACTGGGATGCAAGTGTGACCTTTGTAAATGTACTTGCCTGAAAATTTTCCAAATTTGTCTGCTCTGGGATGCACTTACTTTGAAGTTGACGCTCATTTCAGTATCCTGAAGAACTTAAAGTACTTGGGGTGGTAGTGGGAATGGCTACATAATTTTTGGCAACTGCTGCATACTTATCGCTTCCGGATCGCGCTTATTTTAGCAGTCTTGCACCCAACAGGTTCTAATATTCTCCAGTAGTTTAGCGCCCAACTGTCTGTTTTTAATGCCCTATTGTCTGGGTAGAGATTGGCATCAGAGAGAAATGTTATTGCTTTTATCTAGAAACAGTTCCATTTTTTTTCTGATACTCTTTCTAATAAATTAACTTTTGTCTTTTTAAATGCTTCTTCCCCTAGAACAAATCCCTCCTACTTGCAGAACTGCAATTTTTTACTGGAACATCATAAAGTTCCCATATGGGAGCTACCCAATTATATCTTACAATAATTCAATTGAATGATCTATAGCTCCACTTTTATTCCCTATTAGTATTTGGCTGATCGATGGGTAACCTAATTGATTGTTAAGGTCAAATGTCTTTATTGGCTGATGCTTGAATCTTTTCTCATTATGACTTAAAAAACTGTTCTATGGTCTGTTAGAGTTCTTGTACTCATTTTTGCACACCAGAACATAAACTTCATGATGTAGATGCTGGTGAACAATATACTTATGCAACATTTTGTGTATTCTCAGGTCCAGTATTAGAAGGACATGAAATATTGAGGTATCTGGGTTGAGCAGAACTGCAGTAAGAAACAGTTGATCGTGGGTTTTCAGGTTGTTCTGTGAATAAGGTAGCTGTGATGTGAAATAAATTCTTTGCTTTTATGACAGCTTAATAATTTCTAAGTGTACAAATGCAGAACCTTAACTGCTCTCATTTTGGCTTGTGATGCTTACTGAGGTGTGGGGAAGATTAATGTGTGCTGCAGTACAGAAACAGGATCTTTGTGATTGCCTGATATTTTCAAAACCTTTTTTCTTTTCTGGTGATACAGTTCACTGTGACCAGCTGATCTTTGTTTGGACTTGTACAGGTGTGCTGTAACAACTCAGTATCTTCTCAGATGGACAGTATCCTCGCATAGCCTCAGAGGAGAAAATAGTGGAACAGTGTCAAGAGTCAGTAGAGATAGTCCCAATAAAATGGGGTTTTGCTTTTTCATCCAGGGTTTGTGATAGTAATCTGTTACAAGATTCATATTTACCTCTTGAATTTTCACATATGTTAATATATTTTTAGGCTGGGGTCTCCTTTTGCCATTCACAAGTGTTCCCCCACTTTTACCCAACGCAACTCTGTTTCTGTCATCTAAGCATTTGCTGCGTCTGGCAGGATGGATATCGATTTATTCTGCTTTACTTAAGATACTTATAACTGAATTAGTTGGCCAAGACTCCCATATAGTTGATGAAGCTGCTTCATTCATTCATAAAATTCACTATTTTAAAAGTCTACTTTAGGAAGAGCAGAATTGCACACTGGACTCTATTAACGATAATGAGAATGTGGACTAATGATGTTGGATAATATTTGCAGATAAAGCCAACTCCTGGAGACAAGGTCACCAAGATATATGGCTATTTGTCACTGGCTTTTTTGTGTGTGTGTGTGTGTGTCTCTCTCTCTCTTTTTTTTTTTTTTTTTTTTTTTTTTTTTTTTTTTTTTTTTTTTTTTTT